TTTTTTTTTTTTTTTTGGATGGCTGAGCTTTTCGAATTAAACAACACATCACAAGTCACTCCGAGTCTAACACTTTCACTCCAGCACACCAGACGAGATGAGAACCACTGTCTCCTTCCCACCACTGCTGGTGTGACTTGTGATGTGAGATATGAGAACTGGGGACAGCTTATAATCATCTTCCCGAGCTCTCGCTTCTTCGATGGTCAACCACTGTCTCCTTCCCACCGCTGCTGGCAGCTATGGCCACCAGGCCAAACAACAATAAGATAAATACGCAACTCGATCGTCTGGCCTCTCTGCCCCTCTCTCTCTGAGTGCCTTGTATATCTACCGCTATGGCACCCAGCACCTGTTTACTACTTACCAGATAACTCTCTCTCTCTCTCTTTCTCTTTCTCTCTTTCTCTCTCTCTCTCTCTTTCTCTTTCTCTCTTTCTCTCTTTCTCTCTTTCTCTCTTTCTCTCTTTCTCTCTGTCGCTCTGTCGCTCTTTCTCGCGTTCTCTTTCTCTCTTTCTCTCTTTCTCTCTTTCTCTCTTTCTCTTTCTCTCTTTCTGTTTGCTGCTGTCCTTTTTGTTTGTGACGATTCAACTTCAAGCCCTTGGGCTTGCAGACGCGGGTGATCGATGGTACCTTGCCGGCTTGGATCTCTCGGTCAAGCCTTTGACATTTCCGGAAGATTAGCTGGCCTGTCCGCGACCCTGTGTGACCCTGAGTCGATGATTTCTCAGAACGCGATAGGACTGGACGGGACTACACGACCCTGTGCTCGCCTGGCTCTACCTCATGGCATTCATATTGTTCCGTCGTGATTCGAACTTGGGTCTGTGTTTCAACAGTTCATGGGTGTACCAATGGAGCTACACCGGTCGGTCCTTATCCTTTCTTTTTTTTTTTCCCCTAATTTTGTTTTGAACATCCTGGCATTTTTTGACATGTCAGGGACATGTCCGCAAGCATCAGACAAAGAGCTGACTGAAAGCACAGAAGTGCCTCAAATTTAGAAATTTAAAATGTGCCATGTTACGGTCCTGATATCTCTCGGGACCGCTGGGCGAAAAGAGGAAGACCTGGTCAGAATGATGGAGAGGTGGACGACATTAAAAATTATGTTATGTGAAGGAACTCGTGAGAAAAGAACAAGAAGAGAGAGAGAGAAAAGAGGGAGAAGGAAGAGCAAAGGAATTGGAGGGAGGAAAAGAGGTCACGGGAAGGGAACTCGATCTCTCCAAGAAGGCCGAAGAAGTGAAGCCGAAGTTAGAAAAGCAGAGATCGCAGAGAAATGGCGAAAACAGTCGGAGGCGGCGGAGTTGTCCCCCTTGTCTTCATTTGTCTTGTCGTTTTGAGATTTTGAATTAATTTTGGCGTACGTCTTTTTCTCGTGCTTGTCATCAAGTTGGCCTATTGGAACACGACAGGGATTTTGAGTTTGTGTGCTTGATCAAGTTTTTTTTGAAATTTACCTTGAGTTGAGTCGAGGAGGAAGTGGCGCAATGTTTAAAAATAGACCGCTGCTATGTTTGCGACATCATCGTTCTTCGACCTTGTTGCGTTACGAAATTCTGCCGACTCTAAAACGGACCCCAATCCCAGGCGCAGCTCACTGGTTCTGTCAGCCTACCTCTTTTTCATTGCCGACTTCGCCGCCTCATTGTTGTTTTTGACATGGAGAGAGAACACATTTTCTTCTTTCGCCTTTTTTTTTTTTTGTGTGTGTGTTCCTCTTTATCTTGCAGAGGGGAGAGCAAAGTGGAAAGACAATACCGAATGAAGTGTGCAGGTTGTGAGCTCTTTGTGTGCTACAGAGCTGAAGAGAATCTCGAAGCTGCCAAGTATGTCTACGTGGCAGAGGGCGCCCTCAGCACAGTCGCTGCGGAGACCAATCCACAGGTACTTCAGGAACCGTCGTAGCACAGCCCAACCTTTGGGGGCAACGGACAAAGCTGCCCTCGACCCTTAGATGAAAAAGTCAGAAAAGCCCTTCGCGGGGAAGTACGTGAATGTGCAGGGCTTGGTACCCGTGAGGGGGAGCGCTGCGAGGACAGTAATGGTCTTCGGTGCCCGTTTATGCTTTTCTAATCTTGAGATGTTTCTGCGGTGTGGTGTTCTGCCGCCTTCTCCTTCTCATTGGTGTGGGCGTGGTTCTTTCATGGTTGACGTGGAGAAAAGGGAAAGAGGGGCGGGGGGGAGCAAGGCTCTGCTCTGCCCGAGCAGTGATCCATAACACATCTCCATGCCTTGCCTCAGTTGTGCACACACCTCTGTGAGTGTGCACCTGGTCAGGTTCGTGTATGTGCTGTGGGCCAGATGCACTCTGAGAGAGACATTTGTGCACGTGGAATAAGCTGAAGTACAGAGATAGCGTGTCTATCAGTTGTGGCAGGGGCATGGGATCACATGTATATCAACTGTGGCATGAGCAAGAGATAGTATGTCTGTCAATTGCATGAGCGTGGGCACAAGCATGGCCACAAGCACGGGCATGAACACAAGGTAGCATGTCTATCAGTTGTGGCACGAGCATGAGATAGGATGACTATCAATTGTGGCACGGGCACAAGCTAGCATGTCTATCAGTTATTGTTGTCTAGCTGTGTAAGCTCCCTAGCAATCACTGGTCTTGTAGGTTTTCATGGGGGTTGAATTGGTAATATGTGAACTACAGATGCAAGCCATCTGTACAGGGGGTTCAATCATGTCCGTCCATCCCAAGGAGGAATGAATTTTCCGGTCTGATTGAATGGGCTGTTAGTTGGATGAGGCCTGTATTTGCATTCAGCGTCCTCACGGGCACTGCGCGCTGCCTCCTTCAGCACAGCAAGAATGCCCGAATGCGCCTGGGCTGGGCGGCCTCCTCTCCTTTGTGTTTGACTGTAAGGCTGCATGCCGTCTCAGTAGGTTGAGCTCACTGGGTCTGTGCCCAGGGCCCCGCCTCGGTAATTAACCCACAGGGTGGGCCTAGCGTCACGAGCGCTGGCCTGCAGGGGGGGCCTCTGGCTGTCCGTCACTTAGGGCCGGCCCTTTTTTTCCTGGCCTGAATTCCACTGAGGGCTTGCAGGGCCTTTTTCAGCACGGCCGAGGGGCCTGCTGCATCCTCACACATGGAAAAAGTGTGCACCGATTCAGATCTACCTGTGAAAAAATCGGGACCATTAAAATGAGTCCTATGCAATAGCACAAATAGTAGTCGAATACCACACATCACCACCCAGACAAGCCGTGGAAGGAAAAATGCAAGTACTGCAGGCTTCATTGCCTACCTCATCCGAGACACAGCCCATTCAATCAGACCGGGAAAATCATGCCTCCTTGGGATGGACGGGCATGATTGAACCCTGTACGGAGGCCTTGCATGTGTATTTCACATATTACCAGTTCAGCCCCCCCATGAAAGCCTAAAAGACCAGTGAGGTTGGGGAAGAAGGAAGGAAGTCGGGGTTGGTGGTTCCTACCTGGTGTTGGTGGCAGAAGCCTGTATGAGCAGGGTCCTCAAGCAGCATTGGGGGAGTGACACATGGACAGAGAGTTGGCTTGTTTATAGGCTAGCATGGTAGAGGTAGTATGTGACGTGGATTGGGCAGTCACACCGCAAGTAGGGCTACTACATTGTTGTTGTTTTGATGATTGGAGGCGGATGGCGGGCTTTGTTTATCATGAGACTTCGGTGAATTGTTTGTGCCTAATTGGTGCACACTTCGCTTTGGTTTTCTGCTTTCAACTTGGCTGAATCACGTGTTGTCTTCTGTAAGATTTCACATTCGGGTTCATTGGTGTTCTCATTGCGTGGTTCCTTGCACTTGGCCTCAATCTCTGCTTCCCTCCCCCCCTTCTGAGCCATTGCGAGAAGAAACACAAACTTAAACAAAGGCCGGGACTAAAGCAGGAAGCCGTTTCAAACGATAGTATTGTGACACGATTGTCCACTCCTCTGTGTGTGTGTGTGTGTGTGTGTGTGTGTGTCTGTGTCTGTGTGTGTGTGTGTTGTGTGTGTGTGTGTGTGTGTGTGTGTGTGT